TACCTCCCAAGTACTGGAATTAGAGGAGTGCACCACCACCGCCCTGCTAAAAATAAATAAATCTTTAAAAAGAAAATTTTGCAAGTGTTATTTTAAATTTTTCATTTTATTTCTTGATTTCAACAATAAAACACCCATCTACTATCTACTGAGGCTAAATTTAAGCAAGACTCTAATGTTCATTAAGAATAGCTTCCCCAGGAGGGGCCTAGGCCCAGCACAGGAAGATTTGGTGGACTTTGTGGAGCCCCTGTTGGGGGCCCTACCCTGCCAGGGGAGTGGTGGGTGGATGGGGGGGTAGGTTGGAGGTGGGGGAGAAGGAATGGGGGTGAGGGGAGGGAGAGGGAGAGGGGACTTACATGTGAAACAAGCCTGTTCCCTAACTTGAATTAATAATAATAATAATAATAAAAATTAAAAAAAAGAATAGCTTCCCCAGGCACAGTGAGCTGGACTGAGTTGCAGGCCAGCCTCCTGCTCCACAAAGTGAATTTGCAGCCAGCTGAAATCACACAGTGAGACCCTATTATGGAAAAAAGACTAGTCTCTGGACATAGTTTAGTAAACACACACGCCTAATTCAACTGCACAAAGCTTTAAAGAGCACAGCAACTGTCCTCCACTTCATCTAAGTCTGCTCAGAAAAGAATGCCATGACACAGGTACTTCTGTGCTGGGTGTGGATGTGTTGTTTTCTTAATGAGCACCTGACTCAGTTCCTGAGTAGTCCAAACAACAAATTCTGTTCTAGGACCTGGTCTTATGATTTTGACTAGACTGCAAGTTTCAGGAAGGAGGAAGCTTCCCCACTACTCTTCCTTCTGGCCAGCACCTTTGTACCAACGTCTAGCAAGATGCTCAGAACATATCTGTGAATGAATGGAATAATGAAGAAACAAACTTATTAAATCCACAGGAATGGTTCCTAATAGCTTGAAAGTTTTTCTCACTTGTGTCTTAGGGAAGAAAAAAGATTCCGAAACTTGTATGGTAGTGCATCCCTATAATCCCAGAATTTTGAAGGCTGAGGCAGTAAGATCAAGAGTTCAGTGTCAGCCTCTGATAACATACCAAGTTTGAGACCAGCTTAAAAATAAACAAGCAAAAAAAAATGGAAACAAAAAACTGGATTTTGGCCGGGTGTTGGTGACGCACGCCTTTAATCCCAGCACTCAGGAGGCAGAGGCAGGTGGATCTCTGTGAGTTCGAGGCCAGCCTGGTCTCCAGAGGGAGTGCCAGGATAGGCTCCAAAAGCTACACAGAGAAACCCTGTCTCAAAAACCAAAACAAATAAAAAATAACCTGGATTTTGTTACCAGGTATTCATACACCTCTTAATAAAGAGAATTTTCCCCCAACAAGCTTTTAAATAATACAAATGCTACCCTGAATAGTAAAATTGTGCTTAAAGACATTGTGCTTAAAGAACTATAAAAGCCGAGTATGAACCAAAATGCTTCCAGACATTTTTCAAATATCTGTTGGGAGGATAAAATTTCCTCGCAATGCAAACTACTACTCTAAGAAGCCCACAAACACACTTTGAAAATCAGCACTGCTCCCTCATTCCCTAGGTGACCTTGGAGAGGAGATCTAACCCTCCAGGGTCCCAGCAAATTCATCATCTGTAAAACAGAGCCATTGCTTTGGAAACACCAGGAAAACCAGTTCAAATGATATGGAGTAGGACTTCGAAATAAAAAGTAAGAAACTGAAGAAGGTTAAAGAACTAAAAGAACTTCAGGTCTCCAGAATGCTATAGTATAAAACGGAAGTAGTTGGATAGGGAAAATGTAAGATCTATGGAAAAGAGAGAATACCAACAATGTATTTTCCTAGTCTTCAAGAATGGATGTTCTAGTTTTTGCTTGTCTACTCTAACCTTGCAGAAAATAAAACAAAAATGTCCTTAAATCCCCAAATGTTCTAAGTAAATAAGGTTCCAAAGCATAACATTGCAGTACAGCAAGAAACTACAATGTACATGAAAACCCTGAAAGCAAGAAACTGCCACACCATTGTTAGATATGGCACTCTGATGTAAGATACTTTGGAGTGCCACACAATTAATAACTTCTACCTAAGATTATAAAAGACAAAGTCAAGGCAGGCTACTTAAGTCCCTAACTAAGGGAGGAACTGGGACTTTCGCTCAGGGATAGAGCTCTTGCTTAGCAAGCACAAGGCCCAGGGTTTGGTCTCCAGCAATGGAAGGAAACGAGTAAAGAAAGAAAAGAAAAAGGAAAATAGTCCTTAGTTGAAAGCCTTGGGTTTCCTTCAACTCTAGTTGAGATTTCAGCCAGTGTAGGGATTTTCCACTGCAGTGAAACTAGCAAGAAAAAAAAAAAAAAAAAGACAAAACTTGTACAAACAAAACAAAAACCAAATTCAGTCTGCTGATTTTATGAGGACGCTATGAAGAGACTGATCATGTGCCAATTTGGAAACTTGCAGAAAAGTTATTCCTCAAAAGAAGTATGATCACGGGATGTGTCATCACTTAAAAAAACAAAACAATAATACACACACCAACCATTTGGTCAGCACTTAAAAAGCCTCATCTGGTCTTTTCACTTACTAAGATGGAAGAAAGGAAGAAACGCGATTCTGAAACCTCAGCCAAGGTCTGAATCAGACAATGTTCCCAACCGCCTACATGGTCTTTGCCCTGGCTTTATCTTTCAAGCTCCCTCCCTCACCTGCGTGGGCCAAAGACATTAAGTAAATGCTCAACTGGGTAGGATGTCAGAGGTCGCCAAACTCAAATAACACAAGCGCTCTTGCTTTCCCCAGCATTAGTCAGTAACTCCAGCACAAGGTTTGGTCTCGTGTGTGTGGGTGTCCCTGTGTGGTTAGGGGAAAGACTGGTGTATATGTGTGTACCCAGGTGTTTGCCTATTTGTCCGTGTGCGCATCCCTCCACCATCCTAAGTGTTTGGGGCTTTGGGCGTATCGCCTCCCCGGGGTGCTTTATAGAATTCTCTTCCTCGATGTGTGGTGTGTGGTGTGTGTGTGTGTGTGTGTGTGTGTGTGTGTGCCCGCGCACACGCGCGTATATGCCCCGAGTGACTGGGTGTATGTCCCTTTTCCCGTGTGTTTGATGTGCAAACCGATGTTTCCTCCTGCGTCAGTCATTACACCGGGGCACAAGCCGCCCATGTAGCCCAGCAGTCCTCAAACCCGCGTCCATTTGGCGCGCCCCTCGCCTGGCGGCCCCCAGCTCCTGC